AAGAGGGAAGAGCTAAGCAGGTACAACTACAGGACTGGAAAATAAGGGAGAAGACAAGAGGCCAGAAGATCTTTTGTAAAGGAAGTAGGCTTTTTCTGTTGTTGCTGTTCTGCTTCTACAAGCACTTAACCAGTCCAATATTACAACAGCATTGGGGCAGAGCAAACAATGAATATTACTCAATTGCTTATTTCTGTCTTACAGGGCTCATAGCAGCTAGGCTTAAATTGGCATTTCAACTATTCTTGCTGATTCTGAGATCCCCCAGCAACATGTAGCTAAAATAAACTAGCAGACTTGCCAAAACTGGGTGGTTCCTTGGAAGCTACCCTTTCACCTCATCTGCTTACCATGCCTTGTTGTTTTTCCTGCTTTTTTGGAAGTGCACATTTTTCTGCATCATCCAGAGCTGAGTACTAGCTTGCAACAGCTTCTAGAGGCAGTCACTCAAAGAGTTGGCCCCCAACCAAGTACTGTGCACAACAGCTAATCAGCTCTGTATGTATTGACAAAGTATGCATGGTGCTAGCAGAAAAGGTTACCATGTCTTCATTGCATGAGCTATGTTCAACAGATTTTTGAAAGGAAATGTTCCAGACTCTTATTTGTTTCCGCCGCTATGGAAACAGCAATCCCCCAGAACTAACCATGCAAGATTTCCAACTGCCATCCTGTTGGGCTGAAAACACCTCACAGGTCCTGTCAATCAGGGCTGCGTAATAGGGAATGCACAGTGCATGTTAAAGGCTACTAGTCGAAAAGATCATGCTATCCTTCCAATCACAACAGCTTCACAGAGTGAAGGAGTACAAGAGGAAGACAAAAAAAGCTACAAAAAAAGTCTTAAGCTTAAGTCTTAAGCTTCTGCCAATTTCATCCCTTTAATACCACTACAATTTATATTTCAAATGAAAAATAAGCAAAAAAACTATTAGGAGCAATTCTGACAATAAAACGCTATTAGATATCCTACTGTATAAATCATTAGAAAATAAAAAGAGCAATTGGAAAGCACAGTGCTTTTCAAATGAGCCTCAATACACATGCAGTTAAAAAAAATAAATCCTTCCTTTAGCATGTAAGGATGTGTTTACTGCCAACAAACTACAAAAGCCAAGGCACTGACATTTTATTTTTTTTCAAGTAACATTTCAAAAGACGAGGTGAAACTGCCCTTCTAAACTTTCCCACTTTTGCCTAGCTATTGATGCTAGTACAGCTTAATTTTGGAAATATTTTTTTTAATTATTTCCTGCATATTTGTCTTTTTAGGTAGTTCCCCCACCCCCACTTCAGACAACCACCAAATGGAAGGAGAATCAGCTGAAGGCCAAATGCATGTAAGTGAAAGCCCCGTGCAGATGCTCAGGGTGACTAAGCTATGCTGACTGTCAAATAATAGCAGTTACCCAAGGGTTAGGTTATCCACCACACGTTGAATTATGCTCAGCAACCCCACAAACTTTAGACAAATTGCCTCAATCTCCTCAAGCAGCTCAGTATAGACATGCCCTTAGAGAAGACAAAGACAGATAAGTTCTGTGAACTACTGTGCTTCTTGGCTATTACGTTAACTCAAGTCTCTATTTTCACTTCAGAGCTAGATGTTACACGAGACCTTGAGGGGTCTGATCCAGCACTAACCTAACCTAAAAAGGACTTTGTTGCCAAGGACGTTGACTCTCGTCTTCAATCAGCTTTGTTTAACAGTGACAGAATTATTAGTGTCAAAGTTAGACATTCATTTAACCCCCCCCCCCACTTCCTCTTTATACTTTAAACATGAAAGCAGTTGTTGGAAACTGTACTGGAGGAGGTCCTCTCTTAGTAAAGAGAAACTTTTCTACCAACATAGAAACGATTTTGGAGGAACAAAGATATGGAGGGAAGGGAAAGGAGAGAATTCACATAAAAATCTGTTTCCCTGCTTATTTCCAAAACAAAAAAAAAAAAGTTTTCTGCTTTCTCTGGAAACCTAACTCACTGGGTACCTGCTTCCCAAGGCAGCTAGAGGCCTGTGGAATCAGACACTGCTAGGTTAAAATTGTCCTGCAAGGCAGCTCCCAAAAGTTGGGAGTTCCACTCCCAAAATGCAAGAGGGGCAGGTAGCTCTGACTCCCCAAAGGGCCATCCCTTTGGAAAGGGGTTATCCGGGGCAGCCCAGGCTGGCAGCAACCCAAGAAACCAACTCAGCCAACCAAGTTTAAAAAGAAACTTTTGATTCCATTGAATCAGCATCTTCTAATGGCAAAGATGTGATTTTCTTTTATTTTTTTAAAAGTAGCTCCAAACTGGCTTGAGTACTGAGAAAGACGCATTTAGAACAATAACAATAACCAAAAATACACTTCCTTCTCTCCTCTCTTCCCTTCAACCAACTATGTATCAATCAATCAGTAAAGTAAATCAATAAAAATGAAGCTTTTAGCTAGAGGCATGGTTAATTTAAGAACAGGATTTTTTCAGAAATGTTTCACTTGGCTTAATTGCAAGTAATGATCCAAAACGTGTGGCACAAGGTAAAATTCCCCTTTGTTGCCTCCAAGTGCTTACTTTGGACATGATCTGACAGCTTACAGTGCAGACGGGATCTCTGCTTTCTTTCTGAGGCTTTCGGCCTGAACCCGCAAAGTATCGGCGCGCTTGTTCAACTCTGAGTGGTGATTAAAGTTGTGTATTAGACAACAGCTAGATTGTTTTCAGCAGCCCAGTTCCATCATCAAGTCTCATTTCAATTTCGTGAAGGGGTGTTTCACTCCATGGCTTTGGGGGAGAGAAAAACCATTATGAAGCTGTACCGGCTCATGACAGGTTTCCCATTTTGTGCAAGATTCTGAAACTTGGCACATTTCTGAATCAGCGGGAAAATGGGAAAATTTTGAAACTCTTCTCAAAGCACAACTGAGAACACTTTATTTTGTATGTTGTATTACCATATACAGCACACAAAACTCACAGAACAAGAACACATTTCAAAGCTTATTTACACCATCGCTTCCACGAGCTCTTCTTTTACTGATTTCATTTGTTGCAAAAGCAGAACTTGAAATATTCTGTGTATGGCCTACAGTTTACTGAAGTCAATAGATAACTTTCCCAGGCATTTCAATAGGGTCCCGCTCCCTTTCAAAGAAATATAATTCAAACATTTCTGATCGCCATCCGGGAAAGCTTTAATGACTTATGTTTGTACTCTGCTGCTGCTCCTAACGAAATCAGTGAAACAACACACTCGGCCTAAACTTTGTTACTTTTGCTTTCTTTTCTACAATACCTCTGATAAATTCTGTCATTACCAGAATGTGTTCTCTGATGATTTCATGACCATTCACAGAAACAACAGTAATTCACTGAGGTATTTCTACTTTCTCTCTCCTGGACACTATAGAATACACTCTATTATTGGTATTTGATCTTCTGGAAAAGGGGGAAAAAACCCACCATGAATAAAACCCCACACATTTCATATAGGCAATTTTATTTGGTTCTGGCAGTAGAAAGAGCTGAGGATGGTGAGACAGCAAATGTCGATGTAGTGAGATAAGTGGGGGAAAGGATTATTACAGATACTGATGTGAGGCTCTAAGACTGGATCTGCACTATATGGGAGAAATGCAAGCAAGCAAAGAATAGAATAAGAAGAATTTTTGTACTAAGTTTTGCTGCTGAAAAGAGAACATATCCATCTGTTCAGAAACGTTATTACGGATTACAATGGAGGAAAAATGAAAGGCAGAGAAATGCAGCAACTCTAACTGTATTTGTTCGAGTGTCTCTTGGGGCACATAACCTATATGATCTTATGAAGAAAGAATAAACAGCTTTCCCCTCCCCTCCCCTCCCTGAACTTTGACAAAATGATATCCAAGTTCTCCTATGAAAATGAATAAACAAAGGAAGAAGCAGCTTCCCCTCTAATAGTGATTTATTCTAATGATGTTCCTTTGGATAAAGGCAAATGTGACATAAAATCATTCAGATGAAAATTTAAAAGAAACTCAATTTTCTTCTTTTTTCTAGAGTCCAAGGAAAGTTTTTTTTGGAACAAGGTTGCAAGCAATTGGTTCCTTCAATTACAGGAAAAGGAATTTGCCCCTCTAAATAAAGAGTGCTGCTTTCAGAGTAAGTAAAAGAAATTAACAAAATACTCCAAATAGCCCAGAAAAGGCCAAGTTCAAAAAGCATATTTCCTACAGCTAAATATTCTTATCCCCCTGCCCCGATCACTCTTAAATTTGGCTGTAGTTAGAGCCCTGAGGAAGGGGGCTGTATGAAGCATATAGATACAGTTGGTATGTTTGTGCCCAACTCCTCCAAAAGCTTCTGAATATGTTGACCAGCTTCAGTCAAATGGAACAGAGCAGCAGAGTTTCAACAACATTAAGTTTCTGTGTATTTCATAAAAAGCAAAGTCAAGGAGAGGAGAAAGACTGCAAAAGTCCCTCCCTGAGCAAAAAGCTACATTATGAACTGAGTCCTATTTTGCATCAGCAAATCAACCCGGGAACTTGGCTGTAGAACTTCAACCTATAGAAAGATAGGCTTCTTTGGGCCCACTGCTGGTGGAACTACTTGTACTAAATATATGACTACCTACTAATGTTACAGATAAAAATCCTACTAGCAAATGTCTTCAATACATATGCCTCATAGCAAGAGCTGAACGCAATGTTTATGCGATAAACATGGAAGGCATTCCACTTAAGACTTGTGTAAAAAGCTCAGTGCAGAGATCCTAACATTTGGTTATTAGCATATGTCTTGTGCTGTAGCTGACAGCCAATCCTCCTCTTAACCCTAATTGCAGAGGGAGTCTGGAATATCCATATCATGCACACATATAAGGAAAAAAGAACAAGCCTGCTTATGGATGTAAAAATACGTAAGTGAAGTGGTTTTGGAAGTGAAGGCGATATCAGTACAGATATTTGGAGGGAAGAAAGCCAACTATCAGCCTGAGAAGCTGATAGTTGATAGAAGGAGGTGCCTTTCATTCCTACCTGGTTCAGTGCAATTTCTGACATACGGCTGCCCTCCATCCTCTGGGACGTCAGTCATGTTCTCCTCATTTGCTTGCAGTAGCTGTCTCCCACTCCATTTGTCATTATTTTCCACAGAATAGCTCAGGCCATCATAACCTAGAGGAAAAGAGCAGTAGATACATGAGACTGCACAGGAAAGATAACTTTTTGTTTTGCAAGAAGCTGTAAGCCTCAATCAGTTTAAAACTGGGGTATCACTCACTGTTTTTGTAAAAATTTGACACATAGAAGTTAGGTAGGCAGCTTTCTGAATCAATAAAATACTATGCATGCTTTATACACTTCACTGGGTCAGAGCTTTCTTAGTTTTTCATGACTGCAACGGCAGAACTTGGCGACTCACATTGAATCAAGAAACAGAGACAGGGAGAGCGTAGAGAGAGGACTTCGATGTAGGAGCAATCACCATTTTCAAAATACATTTTCATAATAAAAATTTGAACATTATTTTCACCAAATTGCTCCATACGGATCTACTTCAATATCTCGTGCCCAATGCATTGTCTACCAACATTGGTAGAAAGACTCTCAAACCTACTCCTTCTGGGGCAGAGACCAGCTTTTCGATGCATTACAAAGTAGTCACTTACAAACATGAAATATATATCTCTGTTCAGGTTCTACTCAGAAAGTCTGGCCACAGAGCATAAGGATGTATTCATTCTCCAAACGGTTCTTAAGTCCTACTGTATCATTAGTCCCATCCAACACAATCTGTCTGAAGCCGTAGAGATCACAGGATACGGGCCAGAGCATGACTCCAAGTCACTTAAGCAGTCTTCCCTACTTCAAATCAGCAAACATCTATAAAACATCAGGGACATGTACTTCATGTAAAACCCCCAAAAGGATAAATTTCACCCCAGCTGGTGTTAATCATTTTAAATCGGGGGGGGGGGGGGGGGGGTGGGGCTTTTTCTTTATCATGCCCTTGCATGCAAAGCCCTTCTAACATTAAACGCATGTGTCTTTACTGATTTCATGTTTTTCAAGCATCAGTCATTTTGCTTTCACTTGCCAGTTCTGTTGCTATCAAGACCCAGAGCTGACTGCAAAACCACTGCCGCTCTGTCAAACAAATTTCAGTGCCACACACAATTGCCCCCAAGAATACTAAAGAAAAACCCTATTCCTAAAGCCATTAACCCAGTGAAACAAAACTTATCACCCGGAAAGCAAGGAAGTAGCAAAGAGTAATAAAAAGACGACTGGAGAGACATTTTCAACTCTAACAAAGGATATGGGTAACTAGCAGCAGGATTTTGCTACAGAGGAAGAAGCCACATAGAATAGAACTATTATATTGAGAAATGAATGTAGACATTGATAGCCGGCAAAGAAACAGACCAAAAAGTTGACCCACCGGGTACCAAAACTAATTTATGTAATAAACTTGAAGACACACTATACTCAAACACTAGCTCCATTCAGCAAGAGTTAGCACATCAAACCAAAATCGTTCTAAAGCAGTTTCAAGAATGAAACTCATGGTTTGCTTCCAGCTCAGCATTCCCATCTATGTTTTGCTGCCATGCTTGCAAGGCACAGGATGGTTTCAGGTATGAGTATATGGCAAGTAACCCTATGAAATACGTGGTATTTCCTTTGCCTCTTATTACTGCTCACTGACTCTTTCCTTGCTTCGCTCTCCCTCTTGGCTTTGAGTTGGTGCCGCTAAGTGAAATTCTATTTTAGCAATGTCAACATAAACAGCTAGCTCTTTTTTATTACATTCTTGGCACAGTCCTGGTCAGCCTTAGCCATGTCCGCGTAATGAGCTGAAAGCACATGTTCATTTGTCAGCTCCATGCATCCGATATAGTTTTAAACTCTCAAGGGAGGGGGAGAAAAAAAACCAAACAGAAACTTTTCTTTTTTTTAAAAGATGCTGAAGCATCCACTTCAAGCAGGCACACACACACGAAAATCAACTATTCTTGCAACAGAGACCTTGAGCCTATCTAATAACAAACATTTGTGAGATTTCCACCCACCCATCCATCTTATTCCTGCCAAGCAGAACACAGCCTCTCTCACGAGGACTCGGCTAGTCAAGTTACTCCTCAAGTGCACATCACTGAGAATGCCCATGGCCTTTCCCCTGTAGGCCTTCAGGTTACTGCAAAGCCTGTCTGTCCTGCCCAGTGGGAAGAACATGCCATTTTGCCAGTCAAAAAGCCATTACAGATGTGATTCTCTACATGTGGACTTTACAGCCCTGAGGGTCACTGCCAAGGCAGCAGTCTGAACACGGTATATGAAGCGTTAGCCAGCTTTAAAACTCAACTATTCCCAGGTGTGCTCAGCATGAAAGACACTACTGAGGTAGAGAGCGAGCAAAGAGCATTAGAAGAGAATAAAATTTTGGGATGGTGACTCAGAGGGTTCTTAGGGATAAAGGAAAAGATTTATTGCAAGTTCCAACCCTTTCGTTAGGTTTTCCAACTCATTCCCTTGAGATCGCAGTTGCCGACCCGAGACTTCTGTCTTGCACAAACTTTTACGTCTCACACTGCTCAAGGGCAGCTCCCATGTCACGCTACCAGCAGTGAGGCACTGCTATGCCTGGAAGGTTAAATCCAAGGCCAACAAGCGGTGCTGGGGACCAACAACGCTAAGGCAGGCAGGAGCCAGTGCACGTGCTTCTTTTGAAGGAGAATCACAACTGCATAGGCAGCCTTAAACGCTCTGCTTTCTAAGCAAAGAGTGTTTAACTTGGTAAATTAAATATCATCATCATTTTAAGCTTCAGACGTTTTGCACTATTACTATCACTTTAAAGAATGCTGTTTGTTATTTGTTTTGTCTGTGAGCAGGAGTAAGAGCTTAAGTTGCAAATTAAACACATACAAACACCATCTATCGAGGTGGATTGTGTTTCTCAAAAAGAGCCCATGCAATAGTGCAGCATCAAACATCTTCCTTAATAATAAACATACTTTGGCAATCTGAGCTAAGTAGTTTCAATTTCATATACAAATTGTTTTCAAAGCAGAGAGGCTTTTCTCTAAGCAGTTGATGCTTGGTTGTGCTCTGTTACATGGAGGAAATGCACATGGGAAAACTCACGAGCTCCTTCTAGGACTGTTGCTTCCCCCAAGTTCCTGCAGAAAGCTCTCCTGTTCCCTCCCAACACAAAACAACTTTCTGTCTCGGATTGCAAACATTTCCAAATGATGGGGTTGGGGGGGGGGGGGGAACACCCCCCCCCCCAGACATTTGAGATGACTTTGTAAGGGAGGAAAGCTTAATTTGGCAAAAAAGTGTCTGTAATAGAGTCACATTCGGCATTCACACAAGTAAGCGTAAATTGCAGAATCTATCCGCGGCTGAAGTTGAAGGGATGATTTTGATTTATACTACTTACAGCTTTTCTCCTATAGCTCCAGCTTTAAGCAAGGTAAGCCATCCCACAGCAGAACCCACAACCAGCTGACAAAATCCTGCTTTAGGTATCTCCACTCTAAACATATCAGGCTCAACAGAGTCATAGGAAATAAAAGTTAAAGATTAAATGAAATTCTGTCTTCAAAAGTTGGGCCTTCTAAGGATTTCCCTGGGGAAATAGGGACACATCAAGATTTTAACCTTGCAAACAAGGACATTTTGAGACAGTTAAAACCCCAGCTCTTGCTGCGAAGGCCCAAACGAAGGGGTCTGCATTTCCCCACTTGCTGCTACAGGCCTCCCTGAAGCACAGCAGGAAGCAGCTTGATGCCTGCCCTACAGGCACTGACTGTGCTCTTATCGGTCCTTGCAAAAAATAGCTCAGAAACTTGGATTCGTGTTTTGGCAGATTCAGTGAAAGAGGAACTGTCAGCCGCGATTTAACCCTTTGTGCACGGATGCCTTATATATCAGCCATCCCCTTGCACGCGGGGTGTGGGGTACCACCATCCTGACCTAGCAGCATCCTACTCCGCTTTAGGTGCTGGCACGAGACAATCAACCCCTCTCCCCAAAGAAACAAACCAAACCAACCAACCAACAAACCCCACCACCACCAACACAGCAGGGTGCTGTGGCAGCCAGCATCAGGGACATCACTTTGGTTGCAGCATCCCACAACAGTCAGGGCTGCATAAACAGTGAGCCGTCAATGCTTGTACCTGGGAGACCAGCCCCGCTCCCTGGCTTCGACGACCCTCCACTCTCAGCGCTAGTAGGGCCAGGCATCAGGATGCCACAATACCTGCGGCTGCTGTCGAAGGGCCTCAGCCACCTCAGAAGGAAAAATGTATGTATATTCTGATTTACAGAGTATCAGAATATATTATACAATTTCATCTCCACAATAGTTTTCAAAGGTAGGTGCAACAATCACAAATATTCTTGGCGAGCAAACGTGCTTCAGGCTTCCCATTTCAGACCAAATGTTGCAGGCCTTTATCCAGCTGTCCTAAAGCAAAACTCAGGCTGACTTGAAGCTTCACATTACAGCCAGGCTACACGGCCTAAGTCCTTATTTTACTAAAGGAGAACCCAATCCATTAATTTAAATACATACCAAATAATAGCCAGCAAAAATAGACCCAAATCATAATTGGTGTGTCTCCTTAATTTTAATGATTTTTAATAGGAAAAAATATCAACGTCATTTGTTTCAATTTCTCAGCTGAGTTAAAAAAAAAACTACTAAACATTTTATATTAGCTATACTGTCATTTTATTTAGGCCAATATATATTTTACAGTTAGCATTTTTCTTGTTAATGCTGCTGGCTTTATATTAAAATAATATTGCAATGCCTTTGAAAACTTTGCTACAATAAAGATTTTTTTCCAAAGTTCTGTTCCACAATATTTTCTAAAGTGGGAGTTTTTTTTTTTTTTTTTTAAAAAACTAAATGTTGCCACAAGGTATTTTCCACAACTCCTATTATCCAGCACTAGTTTAAATTACAGGGTCAGAATCCAGGTTCTAGAGAGCTTTATTTCTGCTTACTCCCACAGATATTTCTGTGGACAATAAGCATACGAGTAATTTTTCCCTGTTTTTGTGCCTGTACTGCATTGCATAACATAAATAAGACAATGCAGACAGTGCATTTCCACTGGCCTTGTCTCTTTAAATAACACTGCTAGTGTATT